TCCAGACAGCTTTAGGTCCTTTCTTCTGATCACTACCATTCCCAGCAGGGTAACTTCTCCTTGGGTTTCGAGCTCTACTTGGTTTTCCCGCTATCATCCATGTCCCAAACTCTTCTCCGGTGGTGGGTGGTTTCTTCTCCGGTGTCGCTTGTGAGACTACTTTCTGCACAGGCATTTGGTGTCCGGAGCTTGTTGGAGTTGGGTTCGCATAAGTCCACGGGCAGCTCTCACGTCTATGGCCATACCGTCCGCAGGCAAAGCAGATGAGGTTTAGACCCTCATATTCGATATGGTACGCTGCATTTGCTGCCACAATCCTGGGTACAAGTTTTTTCTGTAAATCTAACTCAACACAAACTCTTGCATACCTCCCCCTATCCACTTTTGATGCTTCTACGGAAACTTGAGATACCGATGCAGTGACCATATCCACACGCAAGGTTTTCCCGATTCTATTTCCCAGTCTTGTGATAAACTCTTTGTTATAACATTGAACTGGGATGTTCGGGATGCGAACCCAAGTAGCAATCTTTCCCAACGGGTTGTTGTATGGGTCAAAGTTGGGATTCCAACGCTGCACCAGGATACTATGTTGTTGCACGACCCATGGTCCCTCATATAGTACTTTCTGGTAGATCTGCACCCACCCATCTTTTGGAGGGAATCGGATAATGAAGTAATTACTGGGGAGATCAGTTATATCAAAATCTGGTGTCCCCTAAATGCGGCTGAGGTGGTCTTTTAGATTGTAAACATTGTATCTTCTACCAAGCACGGTGATTACCAGGGCGGCATTCCATGGTTTGCACCATTCACTGTACTCTTCTGCTGAGATTGGGACAATAGGATATTGCTTCATAAGCTCTTGTACCTCCTCTGATGGTTCGGGGATATCCCACTCTCTATTTATAATGTCTGATAGTAATTCCTCATCTTCCATGCTTCCCCCACAGTTAGCTATTCCATTGAATCCTAGCAGGGAATCTTTGTATGAGGCTTGCGAATTGCCTGTCTTCCTATTGGTGTCTGGTTCTCCGCAGTCATATTCCATGGATTGGGTTATATCAGCCCCCTCCCCTGTTTCAGCATTTTCTGTCATCTGAGTGTCTGATGGTTGTTGGGTTAAGAGTCCCTGTTTTTTCTTTTTGTTACTACCACATGTGAGAGCATCTGAAGGTCGGTCCGGTGGAGTTTTCCGGTGGAGTTGATCGTCCATGAGAAAGGTGTGCACGACTTTCAAGAGAGAGCAAAAACGTCAAACGCCTTTTGTTCTGTGTCCCGTAAAATTTTATTTTATTTATTTATTTATTTAGCCTTTTTAATGTGTTCAAAGTAATTTATTAGGATCTTATATTAAGGAGCAAATGTAACATATCATATTAGTACTCTGTGTCCAAATTTTATAGATTACCAATATTCCATGTGTATAAAAATTTATCAAGTCCTCCTTAACAATTAACTTTTTAATGGAGACATATTTCCTAATTTTTTTCTAATTTTTATTATTTAAATTTTTTCTTTTAAATACTTTTTTACATATCAAATTATTGGGTTTGTTAGAATAATTTTGTCTTTTCTTAACGCCATTTTTTCTCTCTCCACTCAATTTAACTTTTGCGTAGGAGTGATTTTCTTCTCAAAAGCGCATCTTGAATAATGCTGATCCAAACAATTGCCATATAGTGTGTTTGGATTAACGATGACTAGACTAATTTTTATTTTAACTGATTTTTACAAACTTAAGTTAAGATAAAAATTAGTTAATGTAATATGATTTATGTTTAAGTTAAAATTTATAAAAATTTAATTAAAAAAGTTGAAATTTGTTTGAATGATTAATAAAAAAATTTAGATATAAAATAACTGAAAAAGACATAAACTTTATTAAACAGTAGTATTTTATATTATATGCTGTTATGTGATAATTGTTAAAAAATAATTAAAATTATAATTATAAAATAAAAATATTTGTTAGTGAGAAAATTGTAATAAAAATTGTAAATTAAAATTAAAATTACAAAAAAAAAACGAATTAATGTATGATTAGAAAAAAATTGTAAATACTAAAAATACAAATACGAATATTAAACTGAACAAGCAACGTGGACGTGAGGACAAGCTAGAAAATCTGTCAAAATGTGACAAGACAGGACAAAAACTTGAGGGCAGCAATGGAAGGACGAAGAAAAGCTAAATGAAGGAGAAGCCGGACTTTAAAAGCTAGAATTCTAGAAATATTACGGAAAAACCAACCGGGCAGTACTTATACTTTTACTTAATTTTGAATTAAGTCCTTCTATTTTTTCCCTTTATAATTCATTACATTAAATGAGCAAGTCTTCTGTTAAAATTACTCCCAACACCGTTTATGCTACGTGACATGTCATTGAAAAGGCTGGCTTTCCCTTCTTTCCAGAGCCAAGAATGATCTTTCTCTTTCTCTTTCTCTTTCTTCCCACTGAAAACTTCTGCCCACTCCATCATCAATCATGGGCCAAGCACGCCAATGGATAAGGAGAAGAAAAGCTCCATCTCAAACTACATTCACACGCACTGTTTTTATGCTGTTGGGGATTTACCAGAACCGTAATGGCCATTAGAGCTTTCAGTGGCATTCCTTGCTTCTTTTTCAGCGGAACGAGTGGGTTTGCCCGTTCTTTGTCGCTTCCATTGGAAACGCGTCTCTGGGTGTCGTAACATTTGAAGTCAGCTCCTTGAAGAACCATTGTTTCAAAGGCTTTATTTTGTTGCCATGCTTGAATCAGAATTAACTACCTCATTGGCAATATGATAGGCTGGTGATTATCAAAAGCTTTTCCAAAATGGTGTATTATATGTTAAGCAAATTTTTTAAAATAACAAATTAAGGTGGTTTTTTTGGTTAAAATTCTCCAAAAAGAATATGCAGCGGTATATAATGCAATTTGTCATATTGAGTAGATTTTCAATTGCAAGTTACCATGACTGGGACAAAACTGCCACCGCTGGAAAGCAAGCGAGGAGCAAAGCTTCAATATTATCACTTCAGAATGCAAAACCCCGATATTCATATGATTTTATCCTAAATCCGCAGCATCATAGAAGCAGTGTGTTAATGCTAAATGAAGAGGTGAATACAATTTAAGAAGGAGCCTTTCTTATCCTTGTCGGCTTGACTGGTGTGGTTGGCTCTCAAGGGATGAATGAGAGAGAGCCACGAGCCTTTATTGGGAAGAGGAGAAAACAAGTCCATATGTTACTCTTTTAATATATTAATGGTGTTAGGAGTAATTTTAACAGAACTTGCTCACTTAATGTAATAAGTATAAGGATTCCATGAAAAAAAAAAAAATTAGAGGGACCTGATTCAAAATCAGGTAAAATTATCAGGACTGCTAAACTAATTTTCCCAAATATTAGCCAACGTGTTTGGATTGACGTTTTCGGCCGTAAACGTGCATCGGGAGCAGGTGGATGTAAACGTTGGTGGCAGGTAGAGGCACCTTATTATATAACTGTTTTCTTTGATTTTGATGAATTAAGTACTTGTTTCAAACATAATGTAAAGAAAAACCTTTCAGTTTAGGTTATCTATGTATTCTTCCAATTTTTTATATAGGATCTAATTATTAAGTTAATTTTGATCATAAATATAAGATTTATTTCTCATATTTATCAATTTTTTCTAAATTACCTCTATAGATACTCCATCAACCATAATCAAGTAAGTAAGGGAGGGTGGATATTAAGAAAGATGATTATGATATTTTAGGAAAAACATGTCATATTTCTTATTATTAAATAACATTTTTAATTTAATCAAATTAGTTAAATAGATATTATATTAAGGACAAGGGGAGTACTATTTATCAACCATGAGATCTCAAAGGGTATTTGGATAAAAATTAAACCACGATCTTAGAAATAATTTTATGGAGTTTAAAATATATATGTGAGAGGAACTTTTAGGCACATTTCAAACACCTTTTTAGTCACACGATTCAATTTCTTTGTTTTTGCAGAATAACAGGGCAAATGAATATATTAAGCAAACACAGAGAAAGTACAAACCCAAAAACACAAACCCAAAGGTGACAACACGACACAACCGCACACGACACATACTAAAACCTCTGCTCTTCCAATAATTTCCCCGTCTATGATACTAATAACCGAATGGGTAATAAAGACCTGATCAAATTAATCACTTCGTCATATGCAAAGTTGAAACGGTGAAAGATAAGCATGAGATGGCAATTTTACCATACCTGAATTGTAGAAAAAGAAGCATGTGGTGGCGGTGAAAGAGGATAAAAGATGAATAAAGGTTAGGTGGCAATAAATGAGTAATTCACCACCAATGTGTTTCCTTGCCTCTTTTTGGTTTTATAATCAATTGGGGGAGGAGTTTAATCAGGTGGCATCATATGGGATCATTGGTAGATAATAGATGAGTAAGAACAAAAGCCACCGAAACACTTTTCCTATTTATACTCATGTGACGATCGTCTTTTTGCATCAGTATGGAAGGAAGTATAGAAGACCGTGAATCTGTGGGAGAATGTACAAGTGGCCTTGAAGAAAAAGAGAAAGACACTGTGAAGGTAGAAGTTAATAATTCTCAGTAGCAATTCTCTATGGCTAACATGTTTTGTAGTATGTTATGTCAACATGAAATTAGTCAATTAAATATGAACTGTTGACACAAAGTTCATCAACTATGTCATGAATGCAATTATTATAATTTGTATGATTATTCCAGTAGAATTGTGCATTTGAATATGCCAGTTATCATGCATAATTACCTGTTTAATTTATTATAACATGTATGGTTGCTTTATTGCTATTGAGACTTGTATGAATCTCATTGTCCAAATATTGTATTTAGATAGGATCAAGTATCAACAAACTTTGAACTTGACCCCACACACAAGAACCTGATTCAATAACCAGTTAAAGGCAAGAAACGCGTAACAGAAGTTCATAAGATGAAGCCAAACGGATCTGTAAAGGCTGATGAGTAAGAATAAGATGAAGCCATCACTATGAAGTAGTCTTCTGAACAACTTGAAGATATGCCATTTACATCTTAAATAATAACTAAACACAGTTGAGACAGTCATCCAGACATTTCCTACAAGGGTCCAACTCACCTGAAGGTGAGAAAAACTATGAAACCAAACCTTTCCTACAGAGGTCAAAACTCACATGAAAGAGAAAAAATTTATGAGTTTAAACCAAACTACTGTTGCTGCCTCAACTGTGTTTCACATCAGTGTGTCATAAATGTTATATCATATGTACAACTTGATCTTGCCGATAACAGATTAGGGGGCTTTTTCGTCGTTTGTTGGTGTTGGAGGAGGGTTCTGTTCTCTCCTTTTCTTGAAATATTTACCACCAAATTCTTCAGCCATCTCCGGATATTTTGTCTTTAAAAAGTTATCCAGGCACTTCCGGTACGAAAAATCTTGTTTCTGACCATCTTTCAATACCAAATAGAAGCACCTGCTCTCTTGGAAAGTGTTGTGCCTGCTAACCTGTCAAAAGCCCCAGTGCTATTTTTAGATGAAACAACTTCATCAGGACAGAAGAAAGAAGTACATGAGGATTGGTCACGAAATATATATAGAGAAAGGTTACGCAACAAGAAAAGAGACAATCTCCGGGATATTCCTTGAACACCACTAAAAAACAAACATTCCACTTGTTATACATTCTAAAATGGTGAATAAACCACAGAAATCCACAAAATTCTACACAGCTTTCCAAAACCTTTGAACCACATGACATGACACTTCTCTAAACCCCCATTCAATTCTCAAAATGATATTGATAAGGTCACAGGTCCAAAAATTAACACTGACATGTCCACACACCCACACAATGTATGTATGCATGTGAACTGGTCATATATACCAGAAAAGAAACAGCCATCATTTAGTGTTAATACTCCACGTTTATAAAATATATCTAATCTATCAAACCTGTGATAATAATGATAAATTGTAAGTAGAAGCTTAAAGGGCAAGGATAATGAAGAAAAAGATACCATCACATGATCAATCCCTACACCCATTTTGGCTGCTTTATCTGGATGGTGTTCAAAGACATTCTCAAGTACAAAAGTTTGATCCTCAGCAGCCAGAGGGTCCCCATCGTTGTACCTTCACACAATATCAACAAATAGAAAATAAATTATAACAAGCAAAAAATATTCAAATGCATGACACAAATTTCATGCAGAAGTAAAGGAAAAATAAAAGGCTTAGAAATTTATCACAGAATATTAAAAATGGAACAGTTACGGATATTGGAAGGCTGCCATATAGTGTAGCCTCCATTTCCTCAGTTCCTTGCAGTAATCTTCTATTAGAAGAGTAAACAATTGTAGCAACAGTTGTAATAGCTCCTGAGAACTCGCCAACAGCCAAACAATACACACACATGCACACACAAACAAACAGCAAGCAAGACTGTCAAATGAGCAGGCAGCAGTCCCTAATGTACAGGTTTAACGCCTAACCATCTACATGCCGTGCACCTTGCAAGCAATCACATTAGAGTTTAGACAACCAAGAAAAAGGCAAAAGGTGTCACAATTGTCTTATGTTTAAGCTTACAACTGTTCATATGATCATGAAATGTGCGTTGTTTTGCCTTGAGAAACTTACCCAGATTGTTGCATTATCCGTCTAATGTTCTGCATGATTGGTTCAACATCTTTGAGAATATCCTGTTCCTCAGAAGTGAATATATCCAGTCTCTGTCTCGTTGCTGTATATAGTCCACCTACATTAGTCTCACGATTTGCTCCAGGTGTTCTGGGAGGGCGATTCTTGTTTTTCCGTTCTGCAGCATGGGAACCCCAACCTTGGGAACTGTCAGAAGGATTTTTCTTGAACAATTCCCTACTCTGCTTTCCCCATTGATCTCTGTCACCATCATGAGCCGTAGCATTTTGGGAATCCCATCCACGAGAACTTCCACCCCAACCTTGGTTTGTTGGGGGCTTGGATCTTCCCCATGAGCGATTGCCCTCTTGGTCAAGTGAAGAGTGGCCATCATTTTTGCCAAATCCGGAGCCCCAAGAATCATCTTTTGCTCTTTCAGAACCAATCTCTCCTGTTTCAGGTTTATTCTTTGCCCATGACGACCAACCACTTGAATCTTTTACTGTAGAATCATCATCATTTGGCTTTGCTATCCACTTATCAGAGCTCCAAGAATCATCTTCTACCCTTTCAGAAGCGATGTCTCTAGTTTCAGATTTATTTTTTGACCAAGATGACCAGGTACTTGACTTCCTTACTGTAGAATCATCATCTTTTGGTTTTGCTGACCACTTACCAGAGCTCCAAGAATCGTCTTCTACTCTTTCAGAATGTTGGTCTCCTGTTTCAGGTTTATTTTTTGTCCCAAATGACCAACCGCCTGACTTTCCAGCTATAGACTCATGACTTGGTTTTGCTGTCCATTTACCAGAGCTCCAAGAATCATTTTCTGCTCTTCCAGGAGGAGCGATGTCTCCTGCTTCAGGTTTATCTTTTGGCACAGATGACCAACCACCTGACTTTCCCGCCATAGAATCATGACTTGGTTTTGCGGTCCATGTACCAGAGCTCCAAGAATCATTTTTTGCTCCTTCAGAAGGACCAATGTCCCCTGCTTCAGGTTTATTTTTCGCCCAAGATGATGACCAACCACCTGTCTTTCTTATTGTAGAATCATCATCATTTGACTTTTCAGCCTGCATATCAGAGCTCCAAGAATCATTTTCCACTCTTTTAGAACCGGTTACTCCTGTTTCAGTTTTATTTTCTGTCCAGGACGACCAACCACTTGACTTTCTTACTGTAGAATCACCATTTAGTCTTGCTGCCTGCTTACCAGAGCCCCACGAATCACCATTTGCTCCTTTAGATCCAAAGTCTCCTGTTTCGGGTTTATTTTGGGCCCCAGTCAACCAACCACTTGAGTTTGTTGTAGAATCATCACCATTTCGTTTTACTGTCCAATTACCAGATCTCCAAGAATCATCTTCCGCCCTTTCAGAACCAATGTCTCTTGTTTCAGGTTTATTTTTGGCCCAAGAAGACCAACCATCTGACTTTCCTACTGGGGAATGATCATTTGCTTTTGTGGTCCACTTACCAAAGCTCCAAGAATCCTCCTGTGGTCTTTCAGACCCACCCTCGTGTGCTTCAAACACAGCATCCATGCCAGAGGCACGCTCTGGTGACAATTCCCAATCCTCTACAAACAAATCATCAACATCCTCCCCGAGACATTCATTATTGTTGACCTCCTCTTGTGCAGTGCTTCTCACCATGTTCAAAAAGTTGTATACATCCAAACCAATCTCATTTGATTTTACCTACAAAAGAAAATGCCATGGTGAAATAATCGTTTAAGAGCTCCCACATGAATACAAGTCAAATATAAAGTCTAATTTCCAGAGTAGAACTGCATATAATCAAATACCTCCTTTGCATCCCAAAGAACTTCAAATCTTGACCCTGTGCCAACAGCCACACGTTTGCCCCAAGAACAGGATGCAACGATGCTTGATAAGGCGTCTGTGTGACATTTCTCAGCAGCCCGCTCAAAACATTTTTTAGGCGTCTGAGCAATCATACAAGGTAAGACAAAAATAACATCTTCCATTAGACCACATACAATGCGCATAATACATTTCAGAAGCAAGCAAGGCTGTGACTTACAAATAGCGTTGCATCAGTAAATGGAACTTGAGTATTCAGTTGTTTCCCCAGAGCCTTGTAGCCGCCTGTGTTGAATCCAACTAAACTCCCACCACAGGTCATGCTACTCGCTAAAAGGATTAGATGCTCCCTAAGAACACCTTTTGCAACCATTTTTACCGAGGATGCAAGACGCTGGGCACAACAACAAAATGTTAGGCCATTGAACGACAGTTCATCTGAAGGGAGGATCAGTGAAATGTGCCCAAATTTGAAAATATAGCAGAGAATTAAGAAATTAAAAAAAAAAAAAAAAAACAGATGAGGAAAATTTTACAAGACTTCACAGATCCTCACTCATAGGATCCACAGAATACAAGCAGATCTGTGGGGACCATTTGGGGGTAAGGCCAACTAGAAGATCCAGAAAAAATATTATAGTCCAGATGTTCAGTAAAGACTAGACCACAATTAGGATACCTTAATCAACGTGAAGACTCAATAGTTTGTGATATCAATCTCACATTTTAGGTGCAGTGAAGAGAAGGATAATGCATGACTCCTTAAACGATCAAGACTAAAACTTCACTCAAGTATGCATTTGACTTAAGCTGGAAAACAGAGTCAAAAAGGAACACTGGCATCACTATTACAAGATTTTTAACCCAAATGAAACATAATGATATCAAGATTTACATCGATATGAACCAGTCTTGCTGTAAAGAAACTTTTCCTCACTCACAATAGGACCCCATTAAAGCTCCAACCACATCCCAGTTCTATTTGTTGACGTTCTTAACTGTTTTTCTCTGTTTTTCTATAAATTGAATGTACTCATGGACAACACCGAACGACACAGTAAGAAACCAACCACAAGTTTCTATGACCTTTTTCTTCCTGTCAACAAGTCTTTACCTTTGACCACAATGTAAATTTACGCTGCGTGCAAAATTAATAAGAATAAGTGTTGAATCTTAGACAGTGGAAATAAGGGCCCATCGGGGTAGTGAAACTGAAGGCAGTATTTTTTCACAAGGTAAGTAAGCTTGGAGATAGAGCAGAACCCGTTAATAAAACTACAAGTAATTAATACAATTGTTTTCAATGGAAATGATTTTTTCACGGCCATAAAGATTCTGATAGAACAGAGGAAGAAAGCTACCTGGATCACTTGATCAAAAACACATGAAATCCCCAACAATTCCTCAACTTGCTTAATTGCATATGGAATCGAACGGGTGGTATCAATTAAATGAAGTACAGGAAGGCATGAGTCAAGTACAATCCTCCATGCATCACCACTTTGCTTTACAGCTGTCTCCCCGAGAATTATGTCCAATGCGAGTTCGCCTTTTGGAGATTTGTAGGGGTTGTGCACCCACATATTAGAATCTGGATTAACCCAGATTATGCTTGCAGAGATAATGCGGGCATCTCCTATTTATTTGACAGCAAAAGAAGATAGATTAATGGAAAATACATAAGCACGCAACATGACAAGTTTTATGACAGACCAAGGATATAATGTTCACATACAAAGATTGGCGGGTGATTGACCTAGTTTCTAATGTAATTAATTATTTGAATATATGCGGTGGATGGAATCTGAGTTTTGCAAAGGCTTGAGGGGAAATTAGAAATAAATGGGCAGCAACGAAACCACTTTTCTCAGTAATAGTCACCAGTCTTCTGGAAATAAATTTGGTTGCACCAATTTGCTACTGAATTAGAATAACAATTGACGGCAGCAAATGAGATTGAGAATAAGCACTGAAATACTGCACTAAAGAAAACAATGCATCGTAAGATGCAGAAAAAGTCGGTTCACATAAGCCGTGGCCAAAAAGGAAAAAAAGGACGCCTCTTCAAATGCCGAAATATCCACTTCACTAAAAAGAACCAACTAGAGAATGAAATATAATTTGAGCTCCATACCCAAAAAACCAATTGTTTACAACTTAGTATAAATTCATCACAAGCCAGAAGCAAATGCTAATAATGTATTTTGAATTGAAAACTACAGTAAAACTTAAATTGAGGAAAATACCTTTGATTATTGTTTCTAGGAGAACAGGGCAAATAACCTCAGCCAAAATGTACACTGTTTTCTCTAAATCATCGATAGCATCACCATCTCGCCAAATAAATGACACACATGGCACAGAAGACTCACTGCTAAGAAGGAACAACATTTCAGAAGGTAATTTTTCAATTCCAAACAATTTGCATCTTTGGGCGGAGCTTAACCTGCAAAATAGTTCTATCTTCTTAAAAACATGACCAAGCTTCTTCTTCTTACGGTATGGCTTGAGAGTTTCTTGGCATCTTTGGACCACCTCAGCCATATTGATCTCCTTCTCCTCCAGCATCATCTGTTTAAGAAAGATATGGTCACTTTTGAGGGGAAAAAATTGTGTTTAACAAGTCTTGAGATAATTTTCTTCTTTTACTACTCATCATTAAAAAAAACAAAAATTACTTGTCAGAAAAAGATATATTAATTGCCCATAAAGTTTGTTTAAGTAGAAACTTTATATATGCTTATAGACACACACACACACAGATTATACAATAAGCATTAGGAGGGAAAATAGAATACTGAAAAAATAAAAAAAACTAATGCAAGTAAAAATGGCTTTCAACTAATTTTTCACCTCATGTATTATAGTAACATTATTTATTTCATAAAAAGTTCATGGTAGTCAAAAAAAAAAATCATTTAAATTCAGACAGCTGCCTATTAGAACAATTTATCAATTGGGAACCAATTACAAGACAGGAGGATCGGGAATCCTTATAAAACCATAGAAACATAAAGCAGATACAAATAAAAACATTAACTCAATATAAACCTCAAGTACCCTCTGCACATCAGACTGAAGCCCTCTTTATAAAATAATCAAATAAAGCATACAAAAAGGAAAGGAAAAAATGCCATGCAGAGTTATTCCCTTTTCATTAACTGGTTGACATCTGGCTGCATCAATGTCTGCCCTATGTTGGCAGCAACACATAAATATGTTCAAATTTGTGCCAAAATGAAATTCAACAACCTGATTGAGATATATATGACCAACAAGGCCTGCATCAGTCTCAGGACCCTCATTGCCAGTTCTCTGACGTTGGTATCTGAAAATAAACATGCCAAAAGAATATATTGAACCCAAGAAAATCCTATTAGTATAATCATAAAGACAAAATTGCATGGGGACATGCAAATTGTTGAATGGCAGGACAGTAACAGTACTTTTCATGAAATGTCAAAATTAGTCCTTGAAAAACGAGTTTTACTATAAATAGAACTTTGGGTTAATTATTTTGTTCTCATAACACAATATAAACTAAGACAAATGTTATTATTTATGACTCTTTGGGGGGGGGGGGAGGGAACCAAATCAACCAATGCACATGACACTTGATATAAAGAGATGTCAAATCAGAGTTACAAAGAAACACACATGGCACAAGTTAATTAAAACCAATTATCATACCATACGATTATAAAATCTAGAGATCCATTAAAAATAGCTAAATAACCTCTTAATCATGGTTGATAAAAGCACAGCAATACTGAAATCAAGCTTAATTCTTTCAAATAACCCAAGCAATGCAAGCTTTTTTTTTTTTTGGGTTATAAGGATCTGGCTCAATCAAAAACACAAGACATGAGAAGACATACGAAGTATCAGAGTTTCCAGGCAAATTTACAGTTTAATGAAGAAAAATGCATTGACAAGAGAGAAATAGTGCAAAAAAACAAAATAGTAAGTTTCATTTAAAAGTACAAAATACAAGCAAAAACTCTAACAACCGCAACAAAGCCCTATCCCACTAGGATAAATATGCACTCTACAATCCTCTGCATGTCCAGCGTCAGCTGCTTAAACTCAAAACCCTAAAAAACTAGTGAACAGAGAATATTCTAAGTTTCTAAGAACAGAGAATATTCTAAGTTTTTAGGCAATGAATTATGCAGGCACATAAATATGCACTCATGCAACTAGCAACATTCATAACCCGGACACCTCACAACCTGTAAGTTACATGAAACAATGGCTGAGCTTAAATCAATACACACATTTCTTATATCAAGACATATAGAGAATATGGAAGAGGATACATACTCAATCATAACCTCATCTGCCACCTCTTTAAGACTGACTTTTCTCAATTGATTTTTAACCACATAAGCTGCATTTTCTCGGCAATAAAGCTTTCCACAACCACAATCATTCAAGTACAAAATTACACGCCGATCAATTGGCTCATTCTTAAAACTTACCTTGCAAACCAGTATTTCCTGAACACAGCGCATAAACAAAATCAGAGAAAGAAAATTCATCTGAAAATAAAAAACAGATAGCACCACTAGATAAACACATAAAATACCTTCATCAATTCCCATGAGGAGTTACTGTTAGGACTAGCATCAAGGACCGCCTTGTAGGCAGGATTTGACATGGCAGTTGCTGCCAAGACACCTACTGGCTCACCAGGAGGGAATAAAAGTTGGGTCTTATCTCCAGCTTTTACTCCATATTCAAATTGGATGACAGAATTGCTACTAACATTCCTCACAGTTCCATCATAACAAATAACAACATCCCGGAGGATGGCCATCAAATTCTTAAACAGTGTTCCTGGTTCAGATAGCCCTCTAGAAGAGCGCACAAGTATCTCTCTTGTTGAGATAGAATGCACCATCTCTTCATATGGGTCCAAGCCATGAAAAAAGCACCCCTTAATTAACCCAAACTCTGCAGAGGGATAATCAGTCCTATCATAATATTTACCATTAAAATGTGAAGCCACATCCTCAACCAATGTCTTTGAATAAAATTTTCCCCTGTCTGAAAGCTGCACGCCCAGGAATCCAATCTGCTGAACCAACTTATCAATGGCAGACTCACTTTTTGAGTCAATCAAATCACCGAGACCCGACTTCAAAATAAAATTAATAATTGGTTTCTTCACATCTTGAATATACTTCTCCAATTGCTGCTGCACCAATTCATTGTAGATTGACCTCAATTGTTTTAGCAAAATATCCTGTCTACCAATGCTCCTTTTAATGTTTCTTATGGCTTCCCCATATATGAAAAAGTCTTTCAAACTAACACTAAACCCTTCTACAAATAAACTTTCCATCAAAGAAGGTTGTAAAACATTGAAGAATCTCATCACCTCCTGAGGACCCTTTCCAAAGAAAATTGAGGCTGCAATTTCATTGACCATTGTCGAAAGAATATCTCTATTAAAATCAAACCTCAAGATTTTGCTTTGGCAGATCAAGTACTGGCCTCCGGTGCAGTCAAAACTAGATGGCAGCACAGATTGCAATATTTGCACAGCAGTCCAACAGGGACCTTGAGAACAGGCTTTCACAAGAGCAGGCTGTGGCAATGATGGCAAAATGAACATGGCTAACTGATGAGCTTCCCCTTTAGCCAAAAAGTATCTCTTAAACAACATTTTCAATGACAATAGTGAATCAGTAGTAAGCTGCAAATTGAGATTTCCACTGTGAGAACTGAGCAACTGTTTTTCCAGAGAGAAAAGCTCCAAAACCTCTGCTTTGGCAGCCAATGACTGAGGATAAAACAGGTGTATACAGTCACCATCAAAATCAGCACCCAGAGGTCCACAAATAAGGGGATTTATCTTTACAGTGTGGTCATCATGGATGTATACTGACAGGGCTTGAAGTGAGTGTTTGTGTGTTGTAGGGGGCCTGTTAATAAAGACAATGTCCCCATCCATTATCCTTCGGTGCACTATCTGACCAGGTTTGAGATATACATGGCCCTTTGAACTCTCTCTGAGCGAATATCTTGACAAACCTTCCCTATAGGCTAGACACAAATTTTTATCAACCAGCTCCTGTAAAAACTGGATGTTGTGAGAGTTGACCCTCTCCTCGAATGTTACTGTTTGAGCAACTTCAAGGGGAATTCCAATTTCATTTATCTTTTTGTAAGATTCCCCAGTAATCACGCTTCTTGAAGAAAATCCTGAACCCTTTCTGATGAACAAAGTTCTCATCTTCTCCATCCACACTTTTGTTGTCGACTCATTGAGTTCTTTATTGACCCCATAATGAGTCTCTATGTCCCGTGCAGCCTTAGCAGAACCCCTAACTTGAAGATACTGATGAACAACTGACTGCAAGTCAGCTGCTTCTATTAGGTGGGATTCGAAGTTTGGATTACCAGATCTTGAATTTGTTATAATTTCTACTTTCCTAAGCACTTTTCTCAGCACCGTCATGGAAGGATCCTGCAAAATTACCAGCTCTATAGCATTGAGAGACCCATCTATGTGGAACTCCTAATGGATCACAAGTTCAAGTTTATCTAGAGATTTAAATTATAATCTATCTGAAGCAATGTTGTAAAAATTGTTCAAATCACAATTCAAGATACAGTACAATTCAGAAAGCCAACAATACAAATCATGGGAACCATACATAAATGCGTCGTGGATCACCAGAATCTTGAGGCAAACAGTAGATATTGAATCACACAATTTAAATGATGCAGAAATCTGCAGCTAATTCAAGCTGCAGAGTAGGGTACTCTGTGACCCAATGCAAAACGATATCAGAAAGCTCCAAATTTCTTTTTCTGAGAGAGACGAACACTCAACAGATCCATAAATTTGAACTTTTTTAAATGAAACTTCAGGGACAATTTGAGACTTTTTGGTTAAACAAGCCACATCAAAATTACGCATATTTTTAAGAAAACAAGATTTTAAAATCATAACCATCCAAGTTCAATATCAGGTCTGGCTCAAATAACTTTGAATTTAGATGTATTTATTAGTTTAAATAAATCCAGTCTTGCTAAACTTATGGATTAGTATTTTGTCATTTCATCATCTTTAAGAATTAATTTTATAGCATATCTATATCCTTAAACTAAGTAATCAACATCTATTAAGCATACAAGAGCTACCCATCACAACAATATGCAAGTCTGATGAGCCCAACACACCTGTGGGCCATGAATACAAGAGGAAACAGCCCAACAAGACTGCTGAGTCATTTAATCAAACTAAAACTGGACCCCGGCCCGATAACTCTAAGAAGGGCAGTTAGGAGGCTGTTATCTAGGGTTGCATGCCATCAGAAGGGTATGCTCATGAGCTTAAGCAGAAGCCAAGAGCTCCTGACCTCTAGAACGTTAGAAAATGGCTACTGTTTATTGTTCTGTTTTATTTAATGCATTTCAGTCACTGGAACTAGCTTAAGTTAACTCTTTAATCATTTTTCCTCTTCCATTCCCATAGAAGGGGCTGTAGATGACGTATATATTGCGCTTTTGGGCAATAAAACTGTAGCTCCGTCAGAGTCCCACATGTGCACAAGCCTCCTCATCATTTATATTTCTATTCTTATTATGAATTTTACAAGGAAAAAACAAGAATAGTGAAATTGAGAAATCAGCCACATCCCTTCATTTACTCACCGAAGATAGGACACTGATGCCATCCGAAACTTCTGGCACACACAAACAGTTTGGGGGCACTGGAAGATACTTCAAGACATATCCTTCCTGGGGGAAATAGCCTTTTCCAACAAGCTTTTTTCTGGTCTCTGGAGGTATTCTTTTGATAATTTCCAGAACCTTAAATATTGGAAAAAACAAAACAACAAAAAGAATCAAAGTCATTGCTAAGTTCCAACATAAAAACAACAGCAAATACATGCTAACAGAAACATCAACATGGAACAACACGGCATTATCCAACTTGACACTCAATTATAGACCTTACAAAATCCAACTTAAATCACAAACAATTTTATTTTAAAATTCAATAACATAAAACAAGAAAATGCCATTTCCAGTGAAGAATTAAGTAATTAGTGACCAAGAAATAAATGCGCCTCTTCAAACCTTGATAAACTAGAAGGAACAGTGGTCAGCCTTGGAATGTTACAAGAAATTTACAATTTATCTTTAAAAATAGAACAGCCGGAAGGGGGTGAAGCCTCAAAGGAAATAACCAATAGAATTGCCAGATGGCAATATACAAAAATCAGACCTAAAATTTTCCACTTTTTGCTCTGTATGCATGGGGCTACCTATTCATGCATATAGCAAGGAAAACAGAAACAGTTTTCATACTAAGATAAATTATAATTATAATTTGACACAATAAGAAATATACATAGACCTGTCAAATTTAGATGATGCATGAGTCAAAACTAGCAAATAGATGTTTACCAGGACCATGAATATGTAGACGAACAGGAGTAACTAGTAAGTGTCAACGGAAAAAAAACAGCAGAAACAAAACCTCATAAGGAAGCAAAGCTCGAGTGTTATTGCTTTCATAGCGATAGCCATATTTTTCCAGAAAGCTCCAAAAGCCATGACACATTTTCGACTTAGACACCACCAATTCCAAGTAAAAAGCACCATCTGTTGTCTTGGCCTCCCGAATGGTAACTTGTGAAGCATTAGGATTCTATAAATAACAGGATGGAAATATCATAAACACTGAAATACACAAATAAACCATAGATTCCTACCTACTAGAAATTAGCATCAATTGTAAAACCTACTAAAGCCAGCTCAAATAGGGAGGAACAGAACTAGCTGACAGCATAATTATGTTGCCAAGAGAAGGCTTAGATTATATAGAAAAAAACAGAGGATAAAACATAGAAAAGGAATATTTGGAGAAGAAAGGGTACACCAAATTAGAAAGAATGAAAAATGCTTCAATCTTGTTGAACGTCTCTCAGTTGCGCCCCTCATAAACAAGGCAAAGAAGTACGGCCTCTACCACTTCCTTTCCTACCCCCTCTAGGGGGGAAGGTCAGGAGGGGGAATTAAAATGAGAGTGGAATGAAATGGGATGACCTAAAATCTCATAAGGTCTGATTTTGGATAGAAATAGGATACTTTTACATTATTATATGTGGTAGGATAGAATTAAGATAGCAACGGAAAAGTTAAGAAAAGCGATTGACCATATTAACCTTGAAATAAATTTGCATTGGTCTTATTAATATGCACATGAATGGATCCTAAATGGACAGGTTTTTGGGCCCACACCGGCCACAAGGGGGGCTTTGGGATATGTGTGTGTGTGTGTGTGTGTGTGTGTAAGATTGATGCACAAGTTGCAGTGATAGTTGATAGATGTAGCTGTAACCTGCTTCTTCAGAGGTTTTATATGAATACAAACACACAGAACCTATAAAGGTTGCCATTTAAAATTTTTTAAATTTATGGTCAATAATTTTTAAATAATTTAAAATAAAAGAAAGAGGCAGCCCAGTCAAGAAAATTGTCTTCACCAACACGCCCTGCACTTCTCTCTTTCACTATCAATTATAATGAAGTTGCAGGCAAGATTCTCAGAATATCAGTTCATAGTTTCCTCAAAAGCAATCACTATTTCGCCTTAGCTTCAGCTTTCATTGCTTTTCCTTTCTCTGCTTCCATAATCATCTCTCAACCTCTAGTCTCTTCCCCTTTATACCTTTTACCTAAAATCTACAATCACTCGAGGACTTTGTTCAATGTTGGATCATTCCCTTCATCATAAATGTTTACACTTCTCAGCCTCAAGGTTTCTGAAACCATCACTTCCTCAACTTAACCCTCACCTTCATCATGGGTAAAGCTTCCGATTTTAAACCCTGAAGCAATCCCTTGCCCCACCTACCTCCTCCATCCCAAGGAGGAGGGATCTGTCCTACAAAGAGAAAGTAAAATCATGGGGGAGGAAGGACCTCCTTGCCCCCAACCCTCCATCATTGTGTGCGCGCATCCACATATGCATATACGTATATGCATTTATAGGCACAAAAGGATTTGTTTTGGGATACATGGTGTGATTGTGAATAGGATGCAGAATGTTTTGGGTTTATGGCCCAACCACAATGAAATCTGAAGGTTTTATTTTGCCATATTCTCTTTTTTTTTTTGGTGTTATTCTTTCCCTCCATAAAATCACCGTAGAACATTTAGAAACCTCCAAAATAGTGTCTAGATCTCCTTGCAAAATCCCGTCATTCAACCATAGCCACTATGTTTGAGTAGATCTGTAGCAAGAGCCTGATTGGTGGCCAGATTCCCAGCAAGAACTTAGAACAACAGCAAAGAAAAGAAAGCAAGGTAGGGAACATTGATTGCAACAACAGATAAGGTAAGGAAAATCCATCTAGGGGAATAACGCTTCGGATCCAAAAGATCAATTTAATGACATTTAGGTCCAAAAGACTTTTATTGAAAGATAAGTGCAAATATAAGATTCATACAGTTGGGAATATGAAATTTTCAATTGCAAATACAGTATTCAGATCTTATAGGCAACTCCCAATTATTTGCAACTAAGACCCAATATTTGCAACCATCAATATCCGTATTTGCAACTCATGATTCGACAAAATCTTCTGGGACCTAACTATTAATAAATTAAACTATTGGGAGCTAACTGCTGTTTCCCCTATCTTTTTGCTGAGTTCTAAGAATGAAAAGGGGACATCTGATTATGGTATGACTTGGAAGGTGGGTCTTGATCTGATCAAAGGCAAAGCCATGAAGTATAGTAGAATCTACTTTGCCATGGAAGTTGAGATTTGACATGAGAAACTATGAGTGGGGGGAAAAAAAACACTGGAAAGGAATAAAAAAAATAAAAAAGAAGAAAAATGTCCGTAGAGGACCAGATTGAGATTGAGAAAGCCGATGTAGTGCAACAAATGTACAAATTTTCCCAGTTGTGGGATTATATGATTGGATACCCAAGAACCATAATCTTTACTAGAAACAGCTAAGTGTCTGTAGAGGACCAGATTGAGACGAAGTTCATGCTTAGCATTCATAAATGATTGTCATGTATTTTTGAATTAGACTGATATAACTTATGCAATGAGTATGATATAATGAAGATCAGTGGCAAATTCGTATTTCTATTGTATTATCTTCAGTCCTAATTATAAGACCTCATTTGTAGACTGCAAACTAGATCTTATAATTAAGACTGGAGGTAGTATATTATTTCATCTACAATATAGTTCCTTCCCTCATCAGATGGGAAGCCCTGATCTTAGCTGCAAGGAAAGGGAATAGTGGACAGAGGAGATCCCACTCATGCAAAAGGTTCTGTTTTGCTGGATGGCTTTTCCTTTTACCTTCCTAAGCAGACCAAACACACTAGAGTATCTAGAGCACTGAATTTTATTATTTTTCATCTTTGAAAAAAAAAGACACAAAAACAAACTGCCAATAGAGGCAAAATCGCAGAAAATGTGATATAAACTAAAGCATCTAGACCAAAGTGAACGAATCATCAATGTCAAAAAGACACCCGAAAGTTAGAAACTAAACTCAATACAATGCTCCAAGTCAGACACATTTAAAATGTGCCCTTTGAAAATTAAAAGAAAAAAATTATCCTTGGCATAGAAAATGTTATTCATAAGGATCATCATCATATTTAATATTGCATTACCACATATACAAATAGATAATACGAATAATAAAAAAATCAAATCTATATATGTACATAAACATGCAAATACATATATAAATCAATAGATATATAAACATATATAGAGGTGTGTGTGCAGAGAGAGAGAGAGAGATTTGTTTGTCCTGACTCCACAGAGGCAAAATTCCAGAAAATGTGATATAAAATAAAGCATGTATTCTAAAAGTGAAGGAACCATCAATGTCAAAAAGACGCCAGAAAGTTAGAAACTAAACTCAATAAAATGCTCCAAGTCAAAAGCATTTAAAATGTGCTCTTTGAAAATTAAAATATATATATATTTATTGCATTAGCACATATACAAAAAGATAATACGAATCATAATAAAATAAAATATATTTATGTACATACACATGCATATACATATATAAATCATTATATCTATAAATATATACAGATGCGTGCGTGCGTGTTGAGAGAGATTGGTGTATAGGCAAAATTCCAGAATGTGTGATATAAACTAAAGCATTTGTGCTAAAAGTGAAGAAACCATCAATGTCAAAAAGAGGTTGGCCAAAAAAAAATATATATCAATGTAAAAAAGACACCAGAAAGTTAGAAGCTAAACTCAATTCTCCAAGTCAGACACATTTAAAATGTGTTCTTTGAAAATTTAGGGGGGGAAAAACTATGCTTAACATAGAAAATGTTATTCACAAGTATCATCATGTTTATTGCATTACCATATATGCAAATAGATAATACGAATAATAATAAACTCAAATATCTCTATGTACATATACACATGCATATAGATATATAAATATATATAGATAGATAAATATATATAGATATATAGAGAGAGAGAGAGATTGGTTTATACTTTATACTGACCCCACAACGAGGGAAAATTGCAGAAAATGTGATATAAACTAAAGCATCTATACTGAATACTGAAAGTGAAGGAACCATCAATGCCAAAATGACACCAGAAAGTTAGAAACTAAACTCAATACAATGCTCCAAGTCCAATACATTTAAAATGTGCTCTTCAAAAATTAGGAGGAAAAAAAAAGAAAGAAAAATTATGCTTAACACAGAAATGTTATTCACAAGTATCATCATATTTATTGCATAACCACATATACAAATAGATAGTACGAATAATAATAAACTCAAATTTATGTATGTACATATACATATGCATATCGTATATAAATGCATATAGAGAGAGAGAGAGATTGGTTTATACTGACCCCACAACATCTTGCCAAAAGCTTGTGTGTTAAACCATTGCTTGCCGCTGGATTCTGAAAGATTATAGGCCAGAAAGTTAAAACTTGCAAGCTAACATGATAACTATAATCAGAGACAAGCAAATTATCAATCATTCACCATCTTTGAAAAGACAGTAAAACTTCAAGGAAAAGTGGAACGGGGAGAGGAAGGGTGTGATATGAATATATTGTCATTATTTTCCTCAATTACATGTTTCCTAGTATGCATATATTATTCAAGTTTCGCATTGCAATCTATGATAGCAGGGTGCTTCTCATCTCTTTATTAAGTATACTTTTCAAATCAGACATAATAGGGATATTCAAAGATGATGAGAAACAAAGAAAATGTGAAAAGTATAATTGATTATTTGGTTGGAAAATAGTCTTTCATAAACCTATCATCTCAAGGAATTTAACTCTGCGGGTAAAGGGTGTAAACAAAAGGATATTAACTAAAGCTCCTTCACTTTTTGCAATCAATAACCACAGGCCTTTGAAAAGATTAGCAAATTCATGTTAATTCAACATGCTAAAAATGAATAACAAAAATCAATTATCAGGTGTTACCTTGTATGTTTTCATTTTCAAGCAGTTTAAGCACAGCAAACTGAGCATCTTCTTCAATTCAATAATGTGACTTGGATGGTAAATCGGAACTGGTAGCTTAATATATCCAAAATGACCTAGAAAATAATAACAAAAGAATATTGATACATTTGAAATGCTATTCTTTTATCAAACTAATAGCCAGAGAATGAGACCATATACAAACCTTCACATTTTTCAGCTTCAGAAGCGCCACAAGATTCACATCTTCCAAATTCAAGGGGTAGCCCAAGAAATGGATTTGACAGCTGACTAGCATGACTAATTGAAGAGTCATTAACCGATGCTGTACACTGCCAAGACAAAACAGAAACGTAGAGTAATTTGGTCCCCAAAAAAGATATCAAATATCAATATTAGGCTCAATGATACATTGTTGAAACAGACATTACTTAGAAAGCTCTTCTTCAGCTAAAGCAATAATTTGAGATATTTCAAGCAATACTCTCAGCAACTGACCATAAATATAATACCAACATACTACATACTCAGAGAATTCATGCTACAAACTATGTTTTAAGCTCTATACATAACCCTCAACCAAAAAAAAAAGGTGCCAATTATGACAAAAACTTTTAAAATAACAAAATCATTCCAAAATAAAGTCCTGATAGGCACTATTCCTGGTTGTCTTGTGTAGTCAAAGGCATTTGCCTTGACACCTAAGGCAATGAGGTGAGGCACTAAAGGGTTTAACGCCTCTTGTACCATGAGAAGCATTGGCTTCAGCCAGCCGCTCACCTGGCAGCACTTTTGGTGCTTTCCCCTTCATTCAAGGGGGGTCCTTTAGGCACTTGAGAATGGTGGAAAGAACAGGGAAATCACAGGGAGGCCAGCTCAAGTATTTTAAAACAGTATGACTTCATTACAAATTAGAAAACTATAAAAATCCAGTCCAATAACTAATCAGTAATAAGATAACAAGGTCATTCTCACTTTAAAATATTATTTATGCTACTCATTTTCCAAGGTTTGATAGCTGAACTTATCACTAGAATCGATGGCTGAATCATTTTATGATTGAATAATGATGTTACCGAATTACTGAATTAATTAGTGCATTTGATTAGACCAATGGCTAGATAATAATTACGTTTGATTAACTAACTTACAGGTCAAATGTTGTTACAACTTACATTTATTTTATTTATTAGCCTTTTATGGCATTATTTCCTATTTTCGCAGCTCGCTTCACTCAAGTGTCTCTTTTCCTTTTACCCTGCACCTCTCATCTAAGGCAGTTCCAGGGTTTAGCATCATAAGGGGCTACTTTCTTTCCCTTTTTTTTTTTTGGCCTTTAACTGCCTTGAGAAGCTCATAATATAAGTGCATGTCATCTTTTGCCCAGATCACAATAACACACCCTGCATTGTTCCGATTTTATCTCATTCACGAAGAATGGATGGTTGTTTCCTATGCTACACACCACAGGAAGCTCAACTGATCCATTAATGCAACTCTATTAACACAAGAAACTGGAAACAGAAATTCAATTTGAGCTTACAATTTCATGAAATGTAGCCAGACTAAATCTGATCCCAACAACTTCAGCATCTAAAATAGTTGAAGAATGGTCTTCCTCCATCAATTTCAGAGTTCCAAAGTGCTTTCAAGTTCCTGCAAACAATAATTTACAATCACTCATATTATTTAGTGAAACCTCTAAAATGGCTTTTTCTTTTCTTTTTCATGTCCTTGAGAAGGGGTGACTAATTGATGAAAGAGAACTCATGGTACAACGTCATTGAGAACAAAAATTGAAAAAGCTGAAATTCATCAATCATCACTTGAAAATTCTAGCATCAGACAACAACCCCTAGTAGCCAACAAAAATAGCACACTTCAAAAATGTGCCAAGCTCTTCTTTCTCCCAAGGCCTGACGAACAAAGAAAAAATTATACGATATCGGGGACTTGCATGGACAGGAAACTCACTAAAGACAATAATTGTGACTAATGAGTGCAGGGATACCCTCAAGAGCTCTAAAATCCCTTCAAGATTTCATCCAAACTTCAATGCGTAAACACGAGCCGCAAAAAGAGAACAAAGAAAAGAAAAGAAAATATAAATCGAAGAAGGAGTAAGAGGTTTAAACGGATTCATATTCACTTCCCACTCAGCGAGTTAGACGAAATCAGAAATCACAATCCTCCCTTCATTCAGACTAAAATCAAAACGACTCATCAAGGGAGTTTAAAACTGCAAACAAACATGTAAAAAAAAGAGCTGAAATGGCCATCCTTGGGGGTACCAGAGAACCAATGAAATAAAAGCCTGCATGGAAAAGAAGACTAGCATAAAAATGTGCGAAACATTGCTCCCTGAGCTGGGCTGGGAGCCAAAGATGGAATTGAGGTGCAGATGGTACGCAGGATTCAAACCTCCAATGTTATTTCAAAAAATAAATAAATAAAACGTACGGAACATTTTCCATAATTTTTTCCTCCCAAACCCTCAACTTCAAATGAAACAGACCGTCAAACTAATTTTTCTGGCATATTTCCCAGAAACGAAATCATTTGATTACCACCCCACTCAAGCAAACTCATTACTTTCTCCTCTCCCAAACACAAGTCTTACCTCGGAAAAACAAAAGACCCCTCCTTTCAGTAACTCAAGAAGGTGTAAGTCAAACCCTAGACCGAAGAACGAGAATGAACAAATGGGTTAGTCACAATTAGTGCTAAAGCTCAAGAGACTAAAACATTCTGCATGAATCGACAATGCCAAACCATCAGCTGCAATATCAGCATGCCAGAACACAGGACGGAAGTACCTGATTCTCTGGTTTCTCTCTCTGCGCGATTCGGACACAGAAGGAACCGAAGGCAAGCGTGGGTGACTGAGAATGAGGGTCCAGTGGCACGGAGAGTGTGAGTGGGAGGGGGAGAGAATTCGCTTTGCATGAAACGAATTCCGTTTCAGCAAAATTGAAATTTGGCAATGCTGGGTTTTCCGCCCATACAGGTGGCCTGCTGTTCTGGGTTTTGGTCGCTCAATGACCAAAATGCCCATAGATTGGCTGCGAAAAGAGGGTGCTGTGCATATAAAACAAAACAATTAATTCTTAGGTTTTGTTTGGTTCAGTGGAAGGAAGAGGAGGAGAGTGAAGGTGAGTGGAAGTAAGAGGAGGTTATGAGTATTATTTGGTTGAAGAGAAAAGGAAGGGGCAAAGGTTTCTTGTTTGGTTTAGAAAAGGAGGAGAGAAAAACTAATTATAAGTTAACAGATATGTCCTTATTTCTTTATTATTTTATTTTCATATTTATATCAGAATTATTATTTTTTAATTTATGAATATAAAAAAATAAGTTATCTTGCATGTAAAAAATATTTACATATTTATAACATATACACATATCATAAAAAATATTATATCATCATTATCAAATATACATACTCTAAAAAATATATACTTGTCATATTATATTAAGAAAAATAGTATAATTCTGATAAAAATATTATATCATTATTATTAAATATCATTTAAAAGGGTTTTTTATTGAAAATGATAAACTTGAAATTTAAAAAGAATAGCGGCTGAAAGGGTTTTAAAAAAAATTTTACTAAAAAGGATAAATTTAAAATATTTAAAAACTGACATGAATAATTTAGTTAGGTTGAGACATAATATTTCTTTAAAAAATCCTAAATTTAGAGGGGAGCAAAATGTTGGGAGGGGAGCATTAAAAGATAAAAAATAAAAAAAATTCTCCCTTTCCCTTCGTCTTTTCAAATCAAATACAATTTTTTATCCCCTCCCTCTCCCTTCCTTCCAAAACATAATAACCAAACAGTGTTAGAGTAAAATCCGTTAACCTTATGTTCGTATACAAAGGTTGAAAGAAAGGGTAAGGGGGAAAAAATTGAAAAGATTGAAGTATTTCCTTATTTGAATGAGGAACCAAAAAGGAAGTGAAGAAAAAAGAGAGGTAGGACCTACCACATTTTCTCTCAATTTTTCTCACCAAATTTGGAGAGATCTTAAAAGAAAAATTCTTATTCCACTATTAGTCTTTGCCATGCTTTCTTCTCACTTCAGTTAACCCCGTTAAACCGCTTTCACAAATACAAAAAATATTTTTTAAGTTATTTTTAAATAAATATGTATATGAAAAATATATTTTTAAACACATACCATTTGATTTTTTTGAATTATTATTTGATTTTTGAAATAAATATTTAAACATACAAAAATTATTTGATTTTAAAATATACAAATAAAAAATATTTTTTAAATTTTTTACTTAAAAATATTTAGATGATATTTATTTTTATACAACATTGTTATAAATGATTATATGAGAGATAATAAATCAGGATATAAGATTATTACTGTCATTATAACAATTTGCCAATTTTCTTTTCTCTATGATTTCTTCTCAACTCTTCTCTCCATTCAAACAGCACATAGGAACATTGTAACTTATATAGTAATAAGATTTTTTACGTGCATTTATCATTTGGCGCGTTCCTTTATTTTCTAAGGTAAGGGTTTCAGAGAAGGGGAGAGGAGAGGGTGTTTTAATATTAATTTGTTTGATAGGAAGGGGAGGATTTTAATATGAACAACTTTGCCTCTATTTTTTTATATAATAAAGTATTATTATTTGGCCAAAAAAATTATTATATTGTACATTTTAATATGCTTATTAGTTTTGTTAACTAGTCAAAATCTTAAAAACGAGTTAGCTCACTTATATATGATAAAATATTTTTATATACATTTTAAAAGATGATTATATTAATTTTAACATGATATCTCATTAATTTTAATATGATTTTAAAATATGTTACCTCTCTAAAATATGATAAAATTATAAAGTTAAAGAAAAAGTGACAAGATTCTAACCATATAGCAACATCCTCTATGCACTAGGAAATAAAAAATGTATCATATTATAATTATAAGAGATGATTTAGAACAAATTTTTTGTTTCCGGCAACAAATTCAAACACGTCAGAAAATTTATACACGTGAAAAGGGGAACAAACAGGGAAGTTTTAATCAGTATGGAAAAATGATACATTATTTCTCTTGCTTCCCCAAAAAAAGGCTAAATAAAAAAAACTTCTAAAATTTCAAAATCCCAAATTAAAAATAACTACAAAAATATATTGTCATTTGCTTTTCAAATATTATCAACTGTTATTAAAGTATAGTAAACAAAACTAATTTAAAATTTTAAAATTCCAAGATTTTTTTTTTCAGGATTATCCCAAAAAAAATCCCACTTTTAAAGGGAAAGGGAAAGAGAGAAAGAGGGGGGAAGAAACAAGATAAAAAAAATTGGAAACAAGATAAAAAAAAATTGTACATTGACAATCCATATAAGTAATTTAAAAGGCATTTTTACATAAGTCGAGATAAAACTTTTATTACACACTTATTTTCGATTTCATAAAATCACTCTCAGAAAGTTAATCCAAACTTTTGGATACAAACATCGCATAAAGGTAATCCAAACTTTTGGTTACAAACATCACATCAGCTATGGTTGGCTAGCATTAGTTACATTGTTTTTCATTATTCACTTCTTCATAGCAAGCATACTTTTAAAAGTGTATATTTTATTTGCTTATATTAATTTTCTAAAACATTTATCTTATTAATCATTGTAATTATTGCCTTGGTAGATCTCATGCTAATATTTTGTTGGGCTAATCCATTACTTATGTATCTCCCACAATCTTTGAATCAAGCACACAAGCAAATGAATCCCTTTGTGTAGATTGTTAGTTGTTCTGATGGTAATGCCACTTACAACACCTAGATGAGATTCCACTATCCTAAGTTCAAATTCAGCATTGACATATTTGCATGTGTATGTGCGTTTAAATTGTATTAAATAACAAAAATAAATCCCATTACATTTTGCAGTTCAGCACAATACAATAAAATGAAAATGCAATACAATATCAATTACAGATATGGAGTGGCCGTCGACATTTATACGCATACATGCACAAGCACAAATAACTTACATTTATACACACATTTTTTGGGATAAATGCTGCTAGTAAGGGTGATTTTGACTTTGTTGGCAGGAATGGTTCTCTAAAGAGTACAAGAAGAAGATATAAAGAAGAAAGTGGTGCACGATGTCTTCAAGGTATGGGCATCACTTCCTTTTAGGCTTAATTCGCCTCCACCTATTCCTATCTTATAGGATGCAAGTTGGAATGCTTGACGAATTTTCTTCAGGATACAATAAAGACCCTTGAATATGGATTGCACTTCCAAATTCAAGCAAAGACAACAATAGCTTTCACAAAGTGATAAGTTGACTCTATCTTTGCGTGCACTCAAAGACAAAGACAATGAGTTTTATCTTAGTGTTTGTGTTGTATGTTTTTAAATGAAGTGATGGTGAAGGGTTTATATAGAGCATGGAATGATGCCTTGAAGAGATATCTTTTAGAATAAAAACTTACTAAATAAAAAGTCACAACCATATGTTGGTTCATGAACCAACACAATTTAAATAAATACAATGAATTTAGTGTGTAGGTTCATTTAATGTTTTAACTTTCTACATGACCTTTTGTTAAATATAATGTATTTAGTATATAGGTTCATTTAATATTTTAACTTCCTACATAACTCTTCATATAAATATATTAATTTATATGAAAACACAACCCTTCAAATAAATTTATTAATTTATATGAAGACATAACCCCTCATATAAATTTATTAATCTAATAAATTTATACTCCTCCGGTCCTTATTATAAGACTCAATTTGACTTTTTATTTGGTCCTAATTATAAGACCCAATCCATTTTCTCTTTTATATTTATGCATTTTTTTCCAAGATAATCCTTCTAATAATGATAGTTTTAGCTCATATACTTAATTAGCAAGGATATTTTAGGAATAACAACACTTATTTATTATAAATAACTAACTTAACTTACTTCTTTAATCTCCTTAAATAAGTTAATTGGGTCTTATAATTAGGACCGGAGGAGTACAAGGACATGACTTTTCAAAAAAACACATCTCTTCATTTTAAAAATATTCCAACAGACTTTTCTTATTAGGGGTGTTTGGGTAGAAACAAAATTATAGTTTTAAAAATATTTTCACTGTACATGAAGTAAATACATGAAAGAATTTGTCTCGATTTATAAAAAAGTGCTTTTAAAAAACACTTTTGTGTTACCCAAGCACCTACAACATTCTTTCTATAGTGAAATAGTGTAAAACCTTGTTAAACGTGATATTTTTTTTTTATTTCATACAATTAAACCCGCACACGAACAACAATATACTAATGCCAGGCTTAAATGCGATGAGATTGCCTAAGTTGTTTTGGTGTTGTTTGAAATTGTATTAAATGTGTGTTTGGTTTCTCATTAGAGTTTGGAAAACACAATTTTTTTCAACATTGTTACCTTACCAACATAAATGAAAGGCTACTTTTACTAAATTAGAATTTTCCATACATACCCTTAGGTCCCATTTGGCAGTTTCTGTGGGAAATGTTAGTGGAAAAGGATTACCCAGCCGATGTTTGGTGCAGCCTGCTTTGCCATTGATGGAAAAGTAATAGGAAAATGGACGGCCATGTATTTTGGCGCCAATGACAAGAGTGGAGGAGGAAAACTTTGATTACCAAACATACCCCCGGATCCATAATATAAAATTGTTCTAAAGAATCTGACCTCGTTACAATTACATCCTCCATTGCCTCGTGGGGAAGGGTTTAGGCTAAGGGCTGATTTTCTTTAGGGATAATAAATAAGCATATGAAATGACTTAGTCTACCCCAAAGGAAGGTAATTGTATATTGAGGAATCCACTTGCACATTCTTGAACCTAATTGTGTCTTATGGAAAGTAATTACAAGCTTGTAGTTTAGTTTATATTTGCATACTATGGAAAATAATTGCATATTAAAAACGGTTACTAACACATTAGGGTAAATTTCATATTTTGAAAGGTCACTTGC